GTCGAGGGCGGCCGTGGCGGCGCTGGCGGAGGCGGCTGCGGTGGCCCTGGTGACGGTGGCGGCGGTAACCGCGGAGGCGGCGTCGGCGGCGACGGCGACGGCGGCGGTGGGCCCGGCGGAGGTGGCGGCGACGTGGGTGGCGGAGGGACCGGCGGCGACGGCGGCGGTGGCTGCGAGGGCGACAGTGGCGGCGACGGCGGCGGCGGCCCGCAGGCATCCTGAGGCTGTAGCAGCTCTGGTGCGCATGTACGATCCAACGCCTGACCCAACGGTGAGTTGGGCCGGAACGGCCCTGCTGTCGTACAAATCCATAAGGTAGACGCTGCCGCCCCCGCCGCTACAGCCGGCACCGTCACGGAGGCGCCCCAGCCGCAGCTAGGCTGTAGCAAGGCGCTGGCGTTGCGCCAAGTGGTGGCACTGCGCATTCGCATCAGGAGATCCGCCAGCCCCCCCACTTGCGGGTATTGCACCGTCGCGTTCATTTGGGCTCCCTCGCCCACAATGTCACACGTGAGTCGAGATGCCCTGTACGGCAGCCTCAACAAGATGTCGTACAGCAACAATGGACAATGACTGAAGAGATCAAAGCTGCCTCTCGTGCTGTACATGCTGACGATGGCTGTGTACGACTGCGCAGCCGCCGGCGGCGGTGGTGCAGCTACAGCCAGCAAGGCGATCAAAAGGGCGGTCTGGAGGAGCTGTAGCCGTGGCCGTGGCCGTTGCAGGTTGCTACTGCTGCTGTTTTCGCCGCCGTTGCTGCGCCCATGAAAGCTTCCCTTGCTGAGGTTCCTGCTACTGCCGTGTGCGTCATGTAGCCAGCGGCGGTTCGTACTACTGCCACTCGCTACATCTCTGTTGTGAGGACCCCTGCCGAGGCACCCAGTCCGCTTGGTGCCGCTGTCGCGGCTGCTGTTGATGCTGCCTCTGCTACTGCTGAGTCTGACGGCAGCTGCGGGGCAAGCCCCGCTGGGCATTTTAGGGTAGCTGAGAACTGGAGCGCCCGTCGCACATCCATTGGCAGCATCTCCGTCCCTGATGCCGTCTTCTCCCCCCTTTTCGCTGCAACAGCTGTGCACGATACGAAGCGGTTCAAGCTGGAGGGCTTCGCCGCCGTGGCCATAGTCGCATCCGGCCACTTTTTGCCGTCGGTGTAACCTTTGGAGACAAAAGCCGTGGAAAAGGTTGGCACCAGACCAGTTTAATCCAAAGCGGATTGCGATGTGAGTCGATGTCTTGGTGGTGTGGCCGTCAGGACATGGCAGGCAGCAGTATCCGACATTCCGGGCTGCCGTATGCTCTGGGTTGAGCTGAGTAAGATCCTCAGAAGAATGTGTCATGAATTTCATTTCTGTTTTGTAGTATCTGTTGTGGCATTCTGAATCCGTTGAAATGCCGCTGTGGGCCATATTCCCGCTGGCTCAGGGGGATGCAGCGGTCGGCGCTTACCCCGCCAACCTAAGAGTCACTCCACAGGAAATTATAAACTTAAATAAAAGCCTGTTTTGAGTAAAAATGTCTTGGCCGATGAACTCAAGTTGTTGCGTAAGCACCGGTAGCATGGCAACGGTCGCTGGTGCTGGTCCTCGTGTCCTTTCTACGTCAGGTAATTTGGAATTTATTTATACATAGCTAAAACCAATGGGTAATGATTTGTTCAGGTGTCGGCAATGTGGGCTCGCTCCGACGGTCAATGCAGTTGCACACCGACGACCCATTTAGTGCGCGGGGATCTTGCTGCTCAAGCTACGCTTATCTTGAAATGAAAGCTATCATGTATTACGAATCAATCATGTTTATTGCAAACTGCAAGGTCACAAGACCGACGTGCAAGAACCGTACAAACGGTGACTCATTCTTTGCGGCAAGTGTAGACACTATTCATAAAATTTGGCTATTAAGTCGCCTAATTAAATGAGACAGAAAATTTAATCTGTCTTTAATTCAGGATGCCCAAAAGTGCCCGCTGCCCGGCGGGCCGTTCCCATTACATGCTCCTGGCTTACGAAAGGGCGAATACGAAACATAGTCGGACAAGGTTACTATAGCTACTATAGGTATCGTGGCACTCTCCCCGCATGTTATTTTTAGCAAAGCGCGATGCTTCCGCATCATCCGCATCGGCTCTACTGTAGCCTACTTTCGACGGACTGGATAAACCTCGCGTTGATGGGAGGCCCGCCCAGAAAACTGCCGAATCGGATTGGAAGTAATTTTCTCTACGGTCATGATGTATTACCTTCCAATTGCAACTCCATTTTCCATTCGGTATTCAACTGACCCAACCATACATTTTGCGTTCCCAAACGGACAATTCAAGCTGAAATCTACAACCAAGCACACCTCTAAGTTCCAACCTCCTTTGTCCCGATAGGCGACACCCTTTGCTGAACCAAAACAGAAACGAAATTTCACACACGACATGATCAGATATCCAGACCTAGCCCTCTGCATAGTCCCATGATCAGAGATTTTAAACTTATCAAAGCATATGCGGTGCGCCTGAGCTGCATGCAGAAATGGAAGGCTCAGATCTGACTCAGACCGCTCAATTTCTATCCGGTGCGCTCTAATCGCGTAGCGTGCGAACACCATGTAAGCTTCATGTAAGCGCCTCACGACAATTTGGCAATAGAAAGGTCAGGCGCCCTTAAGGCGAGGCGAAGCATGCGCCATCATTTCCCCTGGCTTGAGGGTATTTTTCTGCATACGTGGTGCACCTCGAGGGATTGGCTTTCCCAGCGGTGAGAGCTGCGTGGTGTGTGTGTAATGGTCGTTAAGCAGCCCCTCGCATAATTGTGTCCGGTCGTACAGTGCCGAATAAAACATCCGTACAAGACGCCCAAAAAGCCAGGCGCGAATTTACCGGGCAGATGCGCGCGTGCGACTTTCAAAATGCGCCTGTACAAGTGTATGTAAACGCGGTCAGCTGCTTCACCAGGACCCAAGTGTTTCGATGTGAAGGGCATGTCATGGCGCGGCACATTGTTCAGGATGAGTTGCAGCAGTTTTAGACCATTGCATTATGCCATTATTTGCCATTGTCCACATCTTTCCAACAAAATCTACCTGCCGCCTTCCGCAAAACCCCAAAACTCAGTACATGTGGTTACTCATCTGTGAGACCGTGTCCGGTCATTGCCTGGATCTCCGGAGGCGTATCTTGTCTCTTGCTGTACTCTCTCACTATAACGTAATCCCTCCCCACATACACTCCCAGCACCTTCTCCCTACCGAAACGCGTCTCTGTAAATCTAATGCGGGGCCGAGCCACGTTATTGCCAGCTGCACCTAGAACGCAAGGGCACGTCACGTCCAATGTGGAGCTTCCGGCCCGGGTTCTGCTCGGGTCTTCCGGCTGGGTCGACCGCCGTACATAATGAAGTCCAGCACGGTGCGGTCAAAGTTTCTCCAAAATCGCAAGATCACAATGGAAAAGGTTAGGATTCCACATTATGCTTTATAACATGCTGTCAAAGCCTTGTTTGTTAAAAACAGGCTAGGCGATTTGGAGGCTAGGTTTGTTTCCGTTGCCGAAATTTTTGTGCCAACTCAACAATCAACGGCAACCGGCGCGTCGTGTATAATTATGCCGCTACAACCTTCAAGTATCACCGAAGCTCGTCGCGGTTGGGGCCGTTTTCAAAGCCGGAGCTCTCTACCATTCATCGCGGCCCGCAAACACGTGATCGCCCGCAGCGCCAATGATGAAAGTTCAGGCTTATCAGAGCCCCAATCAATGCAAGCCGGGTTTGCTGGACCACCTGGACATAACCTTGCATCGGCCTCACCTCCATGGGCGCTCATGGGCCGGATGGTCCCCGCTGACCGCATCGCTCTGAGCTCAGAGCAGAAACAGGTACACAAAAAGCTTGGAACAAAGCCTCTTCTTAGTCGCGGAAAAGCTGCTTGGAACGAAGCCTCTCCTTAAGCTAGCTGCGTCATGACCTTGCTTTTGTTCCAAAGCATTTTCAAAAACCAATCCGGTCAGCAGCGGCCGTCCTGCCCGTGCACTATGCTCTAGAGTCCCATGCCGCTGCATCACTTCTCCCAGCCGCCTGGTGTCCTCCGTCGAGGCTGCGCTCCCTGCAGTCCTTCGGGGGCCTGTCCCACATTCTCCCACCCCAGCCTAAGTTTTGACCTCTTGCCGCCTAGACCTTCGTGGGTATATTTACCTCTATACTCATCGGCATGTACCCGCGTACACACACATCCGAATTACGCTCCGCAGCGACCATGTCAAAAACACTTAGTCACAGTCACATACACTTCACACGAGATTCCTACGCACGCGCGCGCACACACACATACACACACACGCAAACATACACAGACCGGGAAGAACGTCCTGCATCTGCACATCTACACATTGCAAGTTCGAATTATGTCGCCCCCATGCACCGCGGTTCCTCTCTGTATTCTGTTCCCCACCTTTCCCCTTCAGCTTCCCCGAAACACAACAAACACACACACACACGCGCGCGCGCTGTAGGGTCCCACCACGTACCCACCCCGCCCTGCGTGACAGATGCTCATCACCTCCGCTGCGGCCCGACTGAGTGGTCTGGATACCGCTGCCTTCGACGCGCAATTGCAGGTATCCGTCCGGATTACCGCGATGTGTGTGTGTGGGGGGGGGGGGGAAATGCGGTGGCGGGCAGGCTCGGTGGGATGGTGGGGATGGAAGAGGTGCTCGAAGGGGTTTGAAAACTGGGTGCGCGCGTGTGTTCGTGTGTGTGTGTGTACTTACATTTGTATTTGTAGGTGTGTGTATTTGTAGGTGTGTGTTTGTGTGATGGATGATAGGTGCACAGGAAATCATAGGTATGGGGTCCCAACACCAGG